ATATTTCATATAATAGACAAACTCTTAAGCATTTATGCTTCCGTATTTCCCTTTTTTTTTTTTTTTTGAGAAAAAGTCTCACTCTGTTGCCCAGGCTGGAATAAAGTGGTACCATCTCCACTCTGTGCAACCTCTGCCTCCTGGGTTCAAGTGATTCTCCTGCCTCAGCCTCCCAAGTAGCTGGGATTACAGGCATGTGTCACCACACCACGCTAATTTTTGCAATTTTAGTAGAGATGGGATTTCACCATGTTGGCCAGGCTGGTCTTGAACTTGACCTCAAGTAATCCGCTGACTTCGGCCTCTCAAAGTGCTGGAATTACAGGCGTGAGCCACCACATTTGGCCACGCTTCCATATTTGTCTTTTTTTTTTCTTTTTGAGACACAGTCTCTCTGTGTCACCCAGGCTGGAGTGCAGTGGCACCATCTCGGCTCACTGCAGCCCCCACCTCCTGGGTTCAAGTAATTTTCCTGCCTCACTCTCCCAAGTAGCTGGGATTACAGATGTGCGGCATCACACCCAGCTAATTTTTGTATTTTCAGTAGAGACAGGGTTTCACCATGTTGGCCAGGTTGGTCTCGAACTCCTGACCACAGATGACCTGCCTGCCTCGGCCTCCCAAAGTGCTAGGATTACAGGTGTGAGCCACCACACTCAGCCTGTTTCCGTATTTCTTATAACAAGCAAGTAAACATTCCTAAAAATCCAGGGATAAACTGTCCAGTATATACTTGCTATTCTTATACTCCTTTTATTTTTTTTGAGACAGAGTCTCGTGCTGTTGCCCAGCCTCGAGTGCAGTGGAGCAAACTCGGCTCACTGAAACCTCTGTCTCCTGGATTCATGTGATTCTCATGCCTCAGTCTCCCAAGGAGCTGGGATTACAGGTGCGTGCCACCACACCCCTAATTTTTGTATTTTTAGTAGAGACAGGTTTTTGTCATGTTGGCCCATGTTGGTCAGGCTGGTCTCAAACTCCTGACCTCAAGTGATCCATCAGCCTCACCCTCCCAAAGTACTAGGATTACTGGCATGAGCCACCATGCCTGGCTACTCCTTATTTTTAACATTTTTACCCTTATGCTCCTTAAACTACTTCAGTGTAAATACAAAAGAACTAGGATTAGAACAAAGAGGTAGCTAAAATAAACACGAGTTGTATATTTAAGTGCCAAGGGAATCTAGAATGAAATTTAAAACTTAGAGGCCAGGCCAGCCATGGTGGCTCACACCTGTAATCCCAGCACTTTGGGAGGCCGAGGTGGGTGGATCACCTGAGGTCAGGAGTTCAAGACCAGCCTGACCAACATGGTGAAACCCTGTCTCTACTAAAAATACAAAATTAGCCGGGCGTGATGGTGCGTGCCTGTAATCCCAGCCACTTGGGAGGCTGAGGTAGGAGAATCACTTGAACCCGGTAGGTGGAGGGTACAGTGAGCCAAGATTGCATCATTGCACTCTAGCCTGGGCAACAACAGCAAAACTCCTTCTAAAACAAACAAACAACAACAAAAAAAAACCTTAAGAGACCAAAGAATCAAAGCAGAAGCCCTGAAGATGCAGCTTATTCTTTAGTCAAGGTAACCTTTCTACTAAACTGTTCTTAACAACTTTTAAGTATTAAAGTATTATAGTGATACTCTAAAGTACTACAAAAGGATCCTGATGGCTGAATATGGAGAAAACAACCTTAGTTCCTTTGTGATTCTTGGATAGGAAGCATACCTAAGTAGCAGAGCTTATTAATTATTCAAAAATATTTATTATTTGGGTTCAAGCACTATGCTAGGCATGAGACTATAAACGGAGTCTTGCAGAGACAGAGAACAAAAAAAAAAAAAATCACACAAATCTATAATTACACATGTTAAGTTATGATGTTAAGATACAGATGCTATGAGTCTACATGATAGGGATCTAATCCAGTCTGGGGCGGTAAGTGATGGCTAGGCTTAGATTTCAGATCTGACCTATGCCACTTACTAACCTGGATAAGCTACTTACCTCTCTGAATCTGTTTTCTCATCTGTAATAATAGTTCATAAGAGTATCTACTTCATAAGGTTCTTATAAATATTAAATGAGAGAAATCCATGAACCTGTTGGCATAGTATCTAGGCACTTTCAATACAGGTTCCGTATGTTTGATAGTTTTAGGGCTGTACCATGACTCTTCCAGTTTGGGTTAAATGCCCGTCTCTATGCTCCCCTATAACCCTCTATATACCACTACTACAACATTATCTTACTGTACTGCAATCATCTACTCATTTATCTACTCTGTTTTCACAAGACTGTGAGCAGCTCTGCAGGAATCACACCTTATACTTCTTTCATCCCTAATGCTCCAAGACTTTTAACTTCACAGCTGGAGCTCCTTAAATGCTGTAGGAGAAATAAATACACTCTTCCCCGGCACTCACCATCTTCATTTCGCTATAGCCTTCTTATCTTACCTTAAGCCATCTCAGGATCTTTACATTGGCTATTCCTTCTGCCATAAAATCTATCTGTCTGTCTGTCTCAATCGATTACAGTTTTTCCGGCTGGGCGAGGTGGCTCACACCTGTAATCCCAACACTTTGGGAGGTCAAAGCAGGTGGATTACTTGAGGCCAGGAGTTCAAGACCAGCCATGCCAACATAGTGAAGCCCTGTCTCTACTAAAAATACAAAAATTAGCCAGGCATGGTGGCGGATGCCTGTAATCCCAGCTGAGGCAGGAAAATCACTTGAACCTGGGAGGTGGAGTTTGCAGTGAGCTGAGATTGCTCCACTGCACTCCAGCCTGGGTGAGAGTGAGACTCTGCCTCAAAAAACAAAACAAAACAAAACAAAACATAACCAAAAAAACAAAAACGAAAACACAGAACAAATTTTCGTATGCTTTTATAGAAAACTCTTCTCCAGATGTCTTCTTCTGTGACTGCTCCTTGAGGAGCAGGGCTATCCCATAGGCAGTATGCCTAGAGTAGCCCCAGATCTTTCAACAGCTTGCATCTTAGCACTCATGTCTCTGCTCAGTTACCTCTCTCTAGAGCTGTTTTCTGACCATCTTACCCAAAATAGCCACTTCACCCCAAACTTTGAGTCACTCTCTAACCCTCTTTTATTCCTAGCGTGTATTACCTGAAATTGCATTATGATTTTACTCATAGTCTTTCTATCCCAGTAGAATGTAAGCTCCATGTGGATAGAGTATAAAATTAAAACAAATTCAGTTTCTCCTATTATTTCACTCAACAATCAACAACACACAACACTTCTGATACCAGATACATGATGGTTTTTCCCCACGTATCAAGCAAGCTATCAATTGTTTACTGGACACCAGTCAAGTGTCCTCTAATTCAATTCATTTTTGATGTTATCTACCTGGAGATAGTGTCAGATGTCACAGGTCGAGGGCTCAGTCCCTCAAGACTGCCCTTACTTCAGATGCCAATAGTAGGTCCAGGTCACCGGCCAACTGACTACAAACCAGGGTTCCCATGACCTCATCCTCAGGTTCAACTAATTTGCTAGGGTAGCTCACAGAACTCAGGGAAATGCGTTTACTGGTTTAAAGGATGTTACAAAGAATACTGAGGAACCCCAGATGGTAGGTATGGAAAGCTCTGGAGTCCCCAAGACTGGTCATTTGAATACTGCATTCTGCCATTGCAATTTTAAGCACACAATACCCATGACAGGCCACACGATGTGGTGGCTGAGATGGGTGGATCACCTAAGCCCAGTTCAAGAACAGGCTGGGCAACATGGCAAAACCCCACCTCTACTAAAAAACCAAAAATTAACTGGGCATCAAGGCAAGCGTCTATAGTCCCAGCTACTCTGAGGCAGGAGGATCACCTGAGCCTTGGGAGGTTGAAGATGCAGTGGGCTGTGATTGGGTCACTGCACTCCAGCCTGGGCAAGAGTGAGACCCTGCATCAAAAAATAAAATAAAAAAATACCCATCACATCTCTAGAAATTTTTCCTGTGTGTCCATTTCAAATTCCACCTTTTCCACTAAGTCTCCCCTCATAACTTTACTAGTCTATGACACAGTGTCTCACACCTGGAGGGTACTCAAATGTTTGCTGCCTGTAACATTTACTAAAGAAAAAAACTCTTGGCTGGGCATGGTAGCTCATGCCTGCAATCCCAGCAGTTTGGGAAGCCTAGGTGAGAAGACTGATGGAGGCCAGGAGTTGAAGACCACCCTGGCCAACGCAGTGACACCCCATTTCTAGCTTTTTATTAAAAAAAAAATTCAGATGCCGGGCATGGTGGCTCACGCCTGGCACTTTTGGAGGCCGAAACAGGAGGACTGCTTTGAGGCCAAGAGTTAAAGACCAACCTGGCCAACACAGCAAGACTCCATCTCAAAAAAATAGTTTTTTTAAAAAAAAGGCAAAAAAATTTTTAGAAAGGAGAGGGGAAAGAAAACTCTCCAGCCCACACAACTTATTCCATCTAATTCTTTTTGCACTAAGGTTAGTATAACACAAATGTGCATTTTGTGTTCTGTGATTGTTTTATGTCTGTATACCTTGTACCCCATCTTCCCTGTTGCCAAAGACAGATTTTCTTCTGTGTACACAATCCCCAGGACAGAGCAAAGCACCAACAGTAATTCCCAAAGTAAGTTTTTGGATTCATACTGTCATCAGCCAGAAAAAAACAAAAAAAACAAAAAAACATGCGTGAGGAGAATGAAGGGTGTTAAGAGGGCTCAAGTTGATGTCCTAAAAGGACTACTTTCTCTACAACCTTCCTGAACACTAGACTTTTCCTGTTCAGTTCGCATGGAAAGTTTTCCCACTTAAGGTGGGGCAGCAAGGTTGGGGACTAGCAGGGGTAGCGTAACTTCTCGGACTCTCCCACTGGAAAGCATCTTTTTCTTAAAGGCAAGGAGCACTTTACAGACAGTTACTAAGGTAACCGAAAACAGCAAAACTCTGAGGTGGTTCTATCTACGGAAGAAATTCTAAGCTCCAAAGTTAAAGTGCGGAGCAGTGGCGCATATCAGCAGACAGCTGCCACTAGTGTGGCTCATTTAAATCTCTGTTCAGCTCCGGGTCCCTTTTTTCAGGAATCCTTGTTTCGGGACACAGGCAAACGGCCGGAAAGCCGCGCAGTCGCAGCCCGTGCGCTTCACTCCGCCCAAATAAGCCACTACCGTCCCCAACCCCTTCTTGTTCGCCCGAGCCGCGGACCTGAGGGAGCGTTGTTCGCTCCCCGCAAGATGCTTAAGCGAAAAATGCAGTCTTCAGTGTCTGAGGCCACGCCGCGGCTTTCGGCCTCGGTGAGGGGTGAACTAAACCCGGGAAACCGCGGAAAGACCCCAGCTTCGACTAGGCCTAGTCGTAGCGGCGGCCAGCGGGAGGACGTAGCCGTAGTTTTGGCCCACGTCATTCTGTGCCCCGGGTCAGGTCACCGCCCCAAGAGTATGGGAAGAGAAATGAAAAAGATTGGTACTCCCAGACCCTTCCGTATCGAGGACCCCAATCAACAACCCACCTGGTGAGCGCCATCTTCTTCCGCTTCTTCCAGCGCGAGCGACAGCACCGCGGGGCGGGTCTTTCCAGATGATGAGGAGCGGAAAGGAAGGAGCGCGCGATGCGCAGGCGCTCTGGCCGAAAGGCCTTCTGGGATTTGTAGTTCTTTGAACGTGAGTACCATTCGTTTCTATTCTGACCGGACCAAGCGGTTATCAAGGAATAATCTCTTCAGCTAGCAACAAATACATAACTCGATCGCTTATATGCGACATGATAGGGCGTTCCCTAGGCCAAATATCAAAGATAGAGGGAGATGCTGTTTAGGCCGCTTTATTACGTTCCTTACTCAGCCCCATTCCCCCAGAAAGGGTACAAAATACAAAAGCTTCCCCGGGACAGCTACTGTAAGTGAAAGGGTGATAGGGAGTTTAAAACGATAGGTAATAGTGAGACTGGCTAATGGAGAGTTCTTGGACTCTGAAAACATTCATACTCAAAACTTTTCTTTAAACCGTATCCTCTTACCACCCAAAACAATCTCCTGGGGAGATATTTTGTAATCCTTGGTAATTTACCGAGCGTCTGGGTTCCCTGCCCAGGGTATGACAAGGCTGAAATCTCATAGGAGGCTCTGGAGAAAAATCCATCTTCTAATTCATTCTTGTTTGCAGAAATCAGTTCCTGGCGGTTGTGGGATCGACTTCCCTGTTTTGTTGTGTGCTGCTAGTGGTGGCCACCCTCAGCTCCTAGGGATCACTCTCAACTCCTTCCCACATGAACCCTATTTATTGGTAGTTCACAACATGGATGTTTGCTTGCTCCCGGGCCAGCTGAAGCACATCTTTGTGTCTCCTCTTCTGCCACCGTTGAAGAAAAAAATGCTCTGCTTTTAAAGGGCTCGTGTGATTAGATCAGGCTCACCTGGATAATCTCCCTGTTTTGAGATCAACTCTTGGCCGGGCGCGGTAGCTCACACCTGTAATCCTAGCACTTTGGGAAGCCGGGGCGGTCGGATTGTCTGAGCTCAGGAGTTCCACACTAGCCTGGGCAACATGGTGAAACTCTGTCTCTACTAAAAATACAAAAATTATCTGGGTGTGGTGGTGTGCTCCTGTAGTCCCGGCTACTCGGGAGGCTGAGGCAGGAGAATCGTGTGAATCGGGAGATGGAGGTTGCAGTGAGCCGAGATCACGCCACTGCACTCCAGCCTGGCGACAGAGTGAGACTCCGTCTCAAAAAAAAAAAAAAAAAAAAAAAAAAAAAAAAAAAAAAAAAAGCTGGGTGTGGTGGTGTGCTCCTGTTTTCCCAGCTACTAGGGAGGCTGAGATACAAGAATTGCTTTAACCCAGGAGGTGGAGGTTGCTGTGAGCCGAGATGGCATCATTGCACTCCAGCCTGCGTGACAGTAAAATTCTGTCTCCAAAAAAAAAAAAAAAGATCAACTCTGCCACACCGCATAACAGAATCAGGGGAGTGATCTCTCTTCATAGTCACGGCCCCAGGGGTTATGTAGGTCATGTACTGTGGGGGTGGGGTGAGGAGGAGATCTTGGAGGATATCCTGGAATTCTGCCTGCCACAGCATGTAAACCAAAAACACTTTTGGTAAATACAGGATTATTCATCACATTGTGTAATATAACATGCATGGCCTGGGAGCCTGAAGATTAGAGTTTAAGATGTAGCTTTGGCCGGTTATGGTGGCTTGTGCCCATAATCCCAGCACTTTGGGAGGCGGAGGCAGGCAGATCACCTGAGGTCGGGAGTTCGAGACCAGCATGACCAACATGGAGAAACTCCGTCTCTACTAAAAATACAAAATTAGCCGGGCATAGTGGTGCATGCCTGTAATCCCAGTACTCGGGAGGCAGAGGCAGGAGAATCGCTTGAACTCAGGAGGCGGAAGTTGTGGTGAGCTGAGATTGCACCATTGCACTCCAGCCTTGGCAACAAGAGCAAAATGCTGTCTCAAAAAAAAAAAAAAAAAAGAAAGATGTAGCTTCAGCACCAATAAATTCTTTTTTTTTCGTAGCTGTAATTTTTTTAAATTTTTTTTATTATTATTATACTTTAAGTTTTAGGGTACATGTGCATAACGTGCAGGTTTGTTACATATGTATACTTGTGCCATGTTGGTGTGCCGCACCCACCAACTCGTCAGCACCCATAGCACCAATAAATTCTTATAGGGCAAGTCATTTAATTTATTTGGGCCCTGGTTTTATTGAACTTAAAATGCGATCATGTTATCTGCTTTATCTATGTTTATATAAATGTAAAATAATTATATATAATACAGCAGAGTATGAGCCTTAAATGAGGTAATGTAGGTGGATATGTTTTTACTTAATTCTTAAGTTCTATGTAAATATGTTAGTTATTACAGTTAATATTTTGGTTGACAGTGATCTACTTTAACCTCTGCTCCAGGAATGTATTATTTGTAAAAGGAGAAAAACAGAGAAGCAAATTATAGAACGTCCTGGAAGCCAAGATCAAGGAGCTTAGATTTAATTCAGCAGGTGATTTGCAGCTGAAGAAGGACTTAAGTAGAGGGCCTGGGTCAAAGGAATAGGCAAGAAAGACATTCTTAAGGCAGAATGGGTTTCTATGGCAATGAGAGACAAAGGAGGCTACTGAGGACAAGGTTAAAATAATTAACATGGGAAATCAGTAAGACATAGACCAAGACCTATGCAGGATGAAAAGAACAGGGTGGAGAAGAGCTTTTGCAATCCACTCTCATTTTCCACAGAGGCATATCATGCAAGACATTTCCACCAGTCATAGTCCCTCGCTGTTTTGGGGGTGTGTAGAGAATAGAAACTGACTTTAATAGCAATCCTATCAAAACATAATTAAGAAAGCAAATCTACTACAAACGTGATACAATATTATACCCAAAGGCCAAGTGCTTTCTTTTTGTTTTTTTGGGGAGGGGGTTTGGTGTTCAGCTATGCTGAATCTTCAGTGCCTATCCATCCCTCATTATCATAGGTAATTAGCAGTGGCCTACTCATATAGAGAGCCCAGTGCATGCTGGAATCAGTGATGCGCCAGGTTGCAAGAAGCAATCAATTCACTCCAGTCTTAGAATTCTGGATAGAGAGTAGAATTGTTCTTGGAGAATCTAGGGCCTAATTTGATTCCTAAGTAGGTGTGGCTATGCAGCCACAAGTAATATAGCTTGTGAGGTGATAGGGAGGACCAGTTAAGCACAGATTCTAGAGTCAGCTTTCCTGACTTCTGAGCCCAGCTCCCTAATTTATGAGCTGTGGATCCTGGATGAGTCATTTAACTTCTTTCCATCTCAGTTTTCTCACTGGCCAAAAAAAAAAAGATAGGGGGCGTGGAATCAGTATAACCTATCCTCAATAGAACTATTGGGAGGATTAAATGAGTTAATCATGTGAAGTGCTTAGAATAATGCCCAGCATAGAATAAGCACTCAAAAATTACTTATGCTTTCTGGCCTTAATGAATTGGCCTTAATAAAATTTATTAAGGTTCAGGTTTTGCATCTGCAAAGTGAGGCAGTTGAACTCAATTTTATTTCTGGGGTACATTCCAACTAACATTTTCTACTATAGGATGTATGTTTAAATGTATTTCAATGCCAGTACTTTATGCTCTGATGCCATTATGCTTTAGTTATTATGGCTATATTATTATAATCATTCTCTGATAAAAAGTAGAGCTGCCCCACCTCACTGTTCTTACTTTTTGGATGTGTTTTGCATGCCCTCTCAATGTTTAAAACACTTTTTTTTGGCCAGGCGCGGTGGCTCAAGCCTATAATCCCAGCACTTTGGGAGGCCGAGACAGGCGGATCACGAGGTCAGGAGATCGAGACCATCCTGGCTAACACGGTGAAACCCCGTCTTTACTAAAAAAAAATACAAAAAACTAGCCAGGCGTGATGGCGGGCGCCTGTAGTCCCAGCTACTCGGGAGGCTGAGGCAGGAGAATGACGTAAACCCAGGAGGCGGAGCTTGCAGTGAGCTGAGATCCGGCCACTACACTTCAGCCTGGGCAACACAGCCAGACTCCGTCTCAAAAAAAAAAAATCACTTTTTTAAAATTAAGATATTGGTTTGCATTAAAGTATAGTTAAAAAGGCTAGAGTCAATGATTACTTAGGAACTGCGAAAGAAATAACATACCTTTACGATGGAGAGATTTGGCTGCCATCACTTTTGCTTCACTAACAGTGGAACAGTCTGACACTAGGTGCTTCTAATAGGAAGTTCCCCAGTTTTCTTTCTTTTTTTTTTTTGAGACCGAGTCTTCCTCTGTTGCTCAGGGTGGAGTACAGTGGTGCGATTTCGTCTTACTGCAACCTCTGCCTCCCTGGTTCAAGCGATTCTCCTGCCTCAGCCTTCCAAGTAGCTGGGATTACAGGCATGAGCAAGCACGCCTGGCTAATTTTTGTATTTTTAGTAGAGATGGGGTTTCACCATGTTGGCCAGGCTAGTCTTGAACTCCTGGCCTCAAGTGATCCGCCCACCTTGGCCTCCCAAAGTACTGGGATTACAGGCATGAGCCACTGCCCCTGGCTGGAAGTTCCCCAATTTTCTGACCAAACCAGACCTAACTTCCAGTTCACAAGAAATTCAGGGGATAGAGTAACAAGTTTAAAAGCATGAGGAAACAATCAGAAAAATCCAGAATGTGAGACATTCTACAAGACAACTGGCTGAGACTCTACAAAATGTCAATGTCATGGAATGGATGTCAATAGAATAGATGAAAACAGATTGAAAAGACATGCCACATAAAATTAGTAAACCTTGATGGGATTCTGGTTCAGTTGGGGAAAACTATAAAAAATATTCGTGGAACATTTGGAGAAAGTTGCATATGGAGTGGTGATAGACTACATTATGGAATTTTTGCTACATATCTTAGGAGTATTAATGACATTGTAGTTAAGTAGAAGAACGTCCTTATTCTTAGGAGATGCATGCCAGAGAGTTTGGGGATGAAATGTGTCAACTTACTTTCTTCTTTTTTGTTTGTTTTTTGTTTGGAGACAGAATTTTGCTCTTGTCACCCAAGCTGGAGTGCAGTGGCGTAATCTTGGCTTACTGCAACCTCTGCCTCCCAGGTTCAAGTGATTCTCCTGCCTCAGCCTCCCCAGTAGCTGGGATTACAGGCGCCTGCCACCATAACTGGCTAATTTTTGCATTTTTAGTAGAGACAAAGTTTTACCATGTTGGCCAGGCTGGTCTCGAACTACTGACCTCAGGTGCTCCATCCACCCGACCTCCCAAAGTGCTTGGATTGCAGGCATGAGCCAGTATGCCCAGCCTCAATTTACTTTCAAATAGTTTATCTCAACAACAAAAAATGTGTGTGTGTGTGTGTGTGTGTGTGTGTGTGTATGTTTATAGTGAGAGAGTGTGAGAGAGCATGAAAGGGAAAGCAGAATGTTAACAATTGTTTAAGCCTAGATGGGGGAGTATGGACTGTATAGGTGTTTACTGAACTATTGTTTCAACTTTTATATGTATATATGAAAATTAACTCTTTTTTTCTTTGAGGCAGGGTCTCACTCTGTTGCTCAAGCTGAAGTTCAGTGGTATGATCACGGTTCACTACAGCCTGAATCTCCCAGGCTCAAGTGATCCTCCTACCTCAGCCTCCCAAGTAGCTAGGACTATAGGCATGTGCCACCATGCCTGGCTGATTTTTTATTTTTTGTAGAGACAGGGTCTCACTATGTTTCCCAGGCTGGTCTTGAACTCCTGGACCGAAGTGATCCTCCCGCCTGGCATCCCAAAGTGACATAAGCCACTGCACCCAGCCCTGAAAATTTTTGTAATAAAAATTTAAGAAGAGCGAAGTTGTAGAACTCACATTTCCCAATTTCAAAAACCTACTACAAAGCTATAGTAATCCAAGTGTGGTACTAGCATAAGGATAGACTCATAGATCAATGGAATAAAATTGAGAGTCCTGAAATAAACCCATATGTTTATGGTGAACTGATTTTTAACAAGGGTACCAAGACCATCTAAAACTATTATTGAAATTGTTTTTTCAACAAATGGTGCTGGGAAACTGTATGTCTAAATGCAGAAGAATGCAGTTGGACCTTTGCTTTCCCTATACAAAAATTAACTCAAAATAACTCAAAGACCTAAATGTGAAAACTAAAACTGTAAAACTCTTAGAAGAAAACACAGGGGTCGATCTTCATGATCTTGGATTTGGCAAAGAATTCTTAGGTAAGATACCAAAAGCATGAGCAACAAAGGAAAACATAGAGAAATTGGACTAAATAAAAAGTTAAGGACATCATCAAGAAAGTGAAAAGTCCCAAGATCTTCAGGGAAACAAAGACATTCCTATTAGACATGACATTTCAGGAGTTTAGAGATTACTTCCAAGAAGTTAAGGACAAAAGCCAGATCTCTCTTTGGACAAGGTTAAATTTGTTATTACAGAAGCCTTGAAAACATTATGCTAAATGAAAGAAGCCTGTCACAAAAGACCAGATATTGTATTATTACCTTTATATAAAATGTTTAGAATAAACAAATCCATAGAGACAAAAAGTATTTACCTAGGGCTGGTGTGGGGGTGTTAGGAAAGGTGAATAATTGTTAATAGGTATGAGTTTCTTTTGGGGGAGGGTTGAAAAATTAGTGGTGATGGTTGTTCAACTTTGAATATACTAAACACCACTAATCTGCATACTTTAATAAGGTGATTTTATGATGTGTGAACTACATTTCAATAAAGCTGTAGAAGCAAAGTTAAGTAAAATGCAAAAGTAATAAAATGAATAAGTGAATAAAAAGTATAATATAGTATCTCTTCATTTTTTTTCCACATGAAATTTAGAATTATTTTGTTGCGTTCTATGAAAAACATCTATAGGCATTTTGGTTGGCATTGAATTGTCCATAAATTAATTTTGAGAGAGCCAATATCTTTACAATTTTATGTCTTCTCACTCAAGAACACTGGTTTTTGTTTTTGTGTGATGGAGTCTTGCTCTGTTGCCTGGGCTGGAGTACAGTTGCATGATCTTGGCTCCCTACAACCTCTGCCTCCTGGGTTCAAGCGATTCTCCTGCCTCAGCCTCCTAAGTAGCTGGGATTACAGGTGTGCACCATCACACTTGGCTAATTTTTGTATTTTTAGTAGACATGGGGTTTCACCATGTTGGCCAGGCTGGTTTTGAACCCCTGAACTCAAGTGATCTGCCTGCCTTGGGCTCCCAAACTGTTGGGATTACAGACGTGAGCCACCGCTTTTGGCCGGGAACACTGTTTAGATTTTAACTTATTAAAATCTTCCTTCATATCTTTCAATAACATTTTGAAGTTGTCTTTATGTAGATTGTACACATCTTTCAGGATATTAATTTTGGTATTTCATTATTAAAATCATGAATGCAATCTCTGTTTTTATGTGATTACTAAATAGAACAGTAATTTTTATTAAGTAAGCCAAAAATGTTCTGAAACATGTCAGTCATTTTATAGGCAGAATCAATTTTTTTATTTTTTATTTTTTACAGGCATGATCAACCAGGTACAGAATCAGTTTTTTGGTTGTAGATGACTTAAGAGTTAGGGTCAACTTGTGTTTGGTGAGACGTGCTCCTCTATCTTCTTCTGGAATTAAGCAGTTCTTTGGGTTGATGAGTAGGAAAGCAGTTTTGCTGTCAGCTACTTCCTTCCATGAGTTCTGAGACTTTCTGTTTAAAAGCACTACGAAACCTGCTGACCCCATTTCTTTCCCGATTTAATTATTCTTTTTGAAAGTTGGCTCTAACCTTAAGGGTTGTGAAAACACAAGGATCCAGTGTGGTTGAAGCTTTAGAACCAAGATAACCATTCCTTTTTCTATCAAACAGCCTGGCAGGGGAACAGTTTGCCCCTTGCCCTGAGCTCTGTCATTTGTTTTGATCATTTTCGTTCCTATCAAACGTGCTGTTGGCCCAGAAGGCAGCCATCTGATAGCTGAAGTGACTGCCTACATTTCTTCCCTCTCTTCTCTAGTAACAAGATATTCCACTAGAATATGCCTGTTTGTAGGCTAAGGTTGTGATTTAATAACCCTAAGGAGATAAACACTGGGATAATAATAATGGTTATTATTTATTGATTAGCTCCTCTGTGCCAATTTATCCCATTTATCCCTTGTAACAGCCTTGTGAGTAGTTAACTCTTTTTATCCACATTTTACAGAAAAGAAAATGGAGGCTTAGATATGTAAGTTGCCCAAGATGACAAATAGAAAGTGACTAATCCGGAACTTAAACCCAGAGAACATGATCTTTCTTTCTTTCTTCCTTTCTTCCTTTCTTTCTTTCCTCCTTCCTTCCTTCCTTCCTTCCTTCCTTCCTTCCTTCCTTCCTTCCTTCCTTCCTTCCTTCCTCCCTCCCTCCCTCCCTCCCTCTCTCTCTCTCTCTCTCTCTCTTTCTTTCTTTCTTTCTTTCTTTCCTTCTTTCTTTCTTTCTTTTTTTGAGATAGGGTCTCACTCTATCACCCAGGTTGGGGTGCAGGGGTGCAATCATAACTCTTTTGCAGCCTTGACTTGCTGGGCTCAGTCTATCTTCCTGCCTCAGCCTCTCAAGTAGCTGGGACTACAGGTGTGGCCGACCACTCCCAGCTAATTTTCTTATGTTTTGCAGAGATGGAGTCCCACTATTTTGCCCAGGCTGGTCTTGAACTCCTGGGCTCAAGCAATCCTCCTGCCTCAGCCTCCCAAAGTGCTGGGGTTACAGGTGTGAGCCACTGTGCCCAGCCCAGAGAACATGATCTTAACCATACTGTCTCCCAAGTGAAAGATTCTACCTTTCTAAGAAATCTGGAGTCAGACAGACCTGAGTTCAAGTCGTGCCTTCCTCCCCACTTTACTGAACCTTCAGTAAGTCTTTCTACCTCAGAAGGCTATAAGGATGCCATGGGGGTAATGAATGTAAAGTGTTTAAGTGCTTGGCTGACAGTGAGTACTAAATAAATATCAATTTATTCTTCAAAAGTGTATAAAAATGTATCAAGTTCTTTCTCTGTACTAAACCCTGTACTAATTTGGGGGAATTCAAAGTTAAAGACTGTATAGTCTTGTCCTAAAAACTAGTGGGCTAGGCCGGGTGCAGTGCCTCACGCCTGTAATCCCAGTGCTTTGGGAGGCCAAGGTGGGCAGATCATGAGATCAGGAGTTGGAGACCAGGCTGGCCAACGTATGAAACCCCATCTCTACTAAAAATACAAAAAATTAGCTGGGCATGGTGGTGGGTGCCTGTAATCCCAGCTACTTGTGAGGCTGAGGTAGGAGAATCGCTTGAACCTGGGAGGCAGAGGTTGCAGTGAGCCGAGATCATGCCATCGCACTCTAGCCTGGGCAACAAGAGCGAAACTCTCCATCTCAAAAAACAAAAACAAAAAACCAAAACCAGTGGGCTGGTAGAGCTGGGACTTGCGGGTTGAATCTGGCCACCATACATATTCTGTTTGTCCTTCACATGCTTTAAAACTTTTGAATTAGCTCCAGACTTTTAAGAGTTAGGAGATTTTGGCCGGGCATGGTGGCTCACACCTCTAATCCCAGAACTTTGGGAGGCCGAGGCAAGTGGATCACTTGAGATCAGTAGTTCGAGACCAGCGTGGGCAACATGGTGAAACCCCGTCTCTACTAAAACTACAAAAATTAGCTGGGCATGGGGGCGGCACCTGTAATCCCAGCTACATGGGAGGCTGAGGCAGGAGAATTGCTTGAACCCAGGAGGTGGAGGTTGCAGTGAGCTGAGATCGTACCACTGTACTCCAGCCTGGGTGACAGAGTGAGACTCTGTCTCAAAAAAATAAAACAAAATATAAAATAAGTTGGGAGATTTTGATCTATTCACCTGACCTTGAACTTCCTACCCAGACCCCTTCTCAAGGGGGATGGTGTCTCTGGCAATCTCATCACTGGCAGAGGAAAGATAACTGAACCCAGTCGATGGCCAAGCCTCCATATATTAGCGGCACTCACATCTCTAGGCTCTTCTTGGCTCACCAGACATACATGTACCTTGGGGATCACCCCTCAAAATGCCATCAACACAGGCTCCTAAAGTAGGACTTTTTACACCCATCACCCAGTTATGTACCAACGATAATACAGGGCTATTCCTTCAGATGAAGAGCTGAGAATATGTTAGTTTTAAAATAGAAGTCAGAGTCAGTGTGGCAGGTGGAATTTACAGCCCATGTAGAAAATGAACCACCCTTAAATGCCTGTTTATAACAAAGACCAATTAAAAATTCCTCCCAGGGCAATAAAGAGAAGCCGCCATAGGTGAGAGTGTTTCTCTGGAGGGAATCCAGAAAAGTTGAGGGAGAATGAGTCTAGTTCCTTCCAACACAAGGATAGAAACCTGTCTAAATGGGCAGGGCCAGGCTGAGTTCATAGGAAAAATAATTTCCTTCATAGTGGGTAGATTCTAAGACCCCCACCCTGATTTTTTTGGAGGATATCCCACAGGGGAAAGAGCAGGCCTGGGTCTGACAGGTGGAACTGACTTAAGCCTATCCTTGCTCACAGACAGAAGCCCATTCCCACCCGGGATGTGAGAGACTTGGCAGAGGCTGGGTGAAGGTTGAGGATGAAAGGGACTTTATTTGTGGAGTTCAAGGTAGAAATCCAATCTACAGTCATGAACTCTGCTCCAAACCATGAGATACCACTTCTTACCCACTAGGATAGCTATAACCAAATAGACAATAACAAGAGTTAGTGAGGATGTAGAGAAATTGGAATGCTTGTACATTGTAGGTGGGAACGTAAAATGGTGCAGCCACTTTGGAAAACAGTTTGACAGGTCCTCAAAACTTTAAACAGAGAGTTACCGTAATGTGATATGGGTTGGCTCTGTGTCCCCACCCAAATCTCATGTTGAATTGTAATTCCCAATGTTGGGGGAGGGACCTGGCGGGAGGTGATTTGATGACGGGGGTGGATTTCCCCGTTGCTGTTCTATGATGGTGAGTTCTGATGTCCTGTGATAGTGAGTGAGATCTGATGGTTTAAAAGTGTGTGGCACTTCCGCCTTTGCTCCCTCTTTCTTCTGCCACAACGTGAAGAGGTGCTTTGCTTCCCCTTTGCCTTCTGCCATGATTGTAAGTTTCCTGAAGCCTCCCAGTCATGCTTCCTGTTAAACCTGCAGAACTGTGAGTCAGTTAAACCTCTTTTCTTAATATACCATATGACCAAGCAATTCCATTCTTTTTTTTTTTTTTTTTTCCAGACAGGGTCTAACTCTTGTCACCTAGGCTGGAGTGCAGTGATGCAATCACAGCTCATTGCTGCCTCAACCTCCTGGGCTGGAGCCATCCTCCCACCTTGGCCTTCCGAGTAGTTGGCCCACACCCCCATGCCTGGCTTTTTTTTTTTTTTTTAATTTTTGGTAAATTTTTGGTAAAGATGGGATCTCCCTATGTTTCCTGGACTGGTCTCAAACTCTTGGACTCAAGCAATCTTTCAAACTCCACCTCCCAAAGTACTGAGGGGGATTATAGATGTGAGCCACTGCTCCCAGCCTCTACTCTTAATATTATCAAGAGAAATGAAAACATATGTTCATACAAAAACTTATACACAAATACTCACAGCAGCATTATTCATTATAGCTGAAATGTGGAAGCAACTCAAATGTACCACACATTGATGAATGGATAAACAAAAGGTGGTGTATCCATACATTGAAATATTACTTGGCAATAAGAAGAAATGAAGTACTGATATGGGATACAGCTTACATGAACCTTGAAAACATAATGCTAAGTGAAGGAAGCCAGTCACAAAGACCAGATATTATATAATTCCATTATTTGAATTGTTCACAATAGGCATAACCATCAGAATGCAGATTAGCAGTTGCCTGGGGATAGGGCTGGTGAGGTGGGGCAGGAAGCAGGGACTGAGAAAGTGAACCAACAGTGAGTGGATGGGAGTTTCTTTTTGGAGTATTGAAAGGTTCTTAAATTATATAATGGTGATGGTTGTACAACTCTGTGAATAATCATAAAAACCACTGAATTTTACACATTGAAAGGGTGAATTTTATGGTACGTGAATTATATCTTAATACATCTGCTTTTTGGCCAGGCGCAGTGGCTCATGCCTGTAATCCCAGCACTTTGGGAGGCCAAGGCAGACAGATCACCTGAGGTCAGGAGTTTGAGACCAGCCTGATCAACATGGAGAAAACCTGTCTCTACTAAAAATGCAAAATTAGCCAGGCGTGGTGGCACATGCCTGTAATCCCAGCTACTTGGGAGGCTAAGGCAGGAGAATTGCTTGAACCCGGGAGGCGGAGGTTGCAGTGAGCCAATATCGTGCCATTGCACTCCAGCCTGAGCAACAAGAGCAAAACTCTGTCTCAAAAAAAAAAAATCTGTTTTTTAAAAATATATCTATCTGTTCCAGGTTTCCTCCGACTACCCCTAAGATAACCAGGAATCACCATGGACTTTTCCCTCTTTCTCCTCTATTTTAAAAAAATATTCAGCCATGTGTGGTGTTATGCCTGTAACCCCAGCTACTCGGGAGGCTGAGGTGGGAGAATTGCTTGAACCTGGGAGGCAGAGGCTGCAGTGAATTGAGATCGCACCACTGTACTCCAGCCCAGACAACAGAGCGGGACCCTATCTAAACAACAACAAAAATTCATGAGCCTCTCTTTACTTAATTTCTTTAAAATGTTTAATAGTGTGTTAATTAATTTATTTATAAAATTATTATTATTATTATTATTTGAGACAGAGTCTCACTCTGTTGCCAGGCTGGAGCAGCATGGTGTGATCTTGGCTCACTGCAACCTCTGCCTCCTGGGTTCAAGAGGTTCTCATGCCTTAGCCTCCTGAGTAGCTGGGATTATAGGCGTGTACCCTGATGCCCGGCTAATTTTTGTGTTTTTAATAGAGACAGGGTTTCACCATGTTGGCCAGGCTGGTCTCGAACTCCGGTCCTCAAGTGATCTGCCTGCCTCAGCCTCCCAAAGAGCTGGGATTACAGGAATGAGCCACAGTGCCTGGCCAAAAAAAATTTTTTTTTCTTTTTTTTTTTTTCAGAGACAGGGTCTCACTGTGTCACCCAGGCTAAAGTTCAGTGACACCATCATGACTCACTGCAGTCTCGATTTCGTGGGCTCAAGTGATCCTCCCACCTCAGCCTCCTAGATAACTGGGACCACAGGCACGTACCACCATGCCCAGCTAGGTGTATTAGTCTGTTCTCATGCTGCTAATAAAGACATATCTGAGACTGGTTCATTTATAAAGGAAAGTGGTTTAATGGACTCACAGTTCCACATGGCTGGCGAGACCTCACAATCATGGTGGAAGGCGAATGAGGCACAAAGTCACGTCTTACATGGCGGCAGGCAAGGTAGTGTGTCCGGGGGATTCCCCTTTATAAAACCATCAGTGCTTGTGAAACTTATTTACCATCATGAGAAGAGCACAGGAAAGACCCGCCCCCATGATTCAATTACCTCCCACCCGGTCCCTCTCATGACATGTGGGAATTATGGGAGCTACAATTCAAGATGAGATTTGGGTGAGGACACAGCCAAACCATATCACTAGGGTTTTTTTTTTTTTTCCGGTAGAGATGGAGTCTCACTATGTTGCCCAGGCTGGTCTTGAACTCCTGGGCTCAAGCGATTCTCCCACTTTGGCTTCCTAAAGTGCTGGGATTACAAGTGTGAACCATTGCGCCTGGCCTCATGGCCTAGTTAACTTCTTTTTTTTTTCTCCCCGAGACAGAGTCTTGTTCTGTTGCCCAGGCTGGAGTGCAGTGGCACAACTCAGCTCACTGCAACCTTCGCCTCCTGGGTTCAAGCGATTCTCCTGCCTCAGCCTCCAGAGTAAGCTGGGATTACAGGCACCTGCCACTGAGCCTGGTTCATTTTTGTATTTTTAGTAGAGATGGGGTTTCACCAGGTTGGGCAGGCTGGTCTCGAATTCCTGACCTCA